GTAATAAACTTTCATCATGCTAAAATATGGAAGAACATCTTTGTTTGTGCTTGTTTCAGTAGAGTTCATAGTTGTATTTTAAGATTCCCGTTGTTTACATTAGAACTAGATATCTACAGAGTGAGAACAAACTAGAACCCAGTTGTGCAAACCTTACGCATGTTGGTGAGCACTCACACGAATAGTCCCAGTGCCTTCAGTGGAACTGCTTGTGTAAGCGCTCACCAGTTTGAGAGAGGCTTGTGCATCTTGCCCTAAAACAATAAATATGTTGATTCAGATGATCACGTTATATGGTAGCTTTAAGTGAACATGACAGTTGATGTAAGGCTTGGAAGTGGCCTTGAAGAGAATATTCTTCATAGCTAGTTGCAAGACACCTCACTACCCCCTGCCCTTAGGGTGAGGAAGTTTTGTCTGTTTCTGCCCTGCATCAGCACCTGCCCTAACCATGGGCAACGCAAATCGGTGCCCCACTGACACTCTACAGCACACCCAAGCCCTGCGAGCATCTCCCTGGAGTGTCGAACCCCTGGCCTGGTCCACTGGGCTCTCACAGAATTCACATATTTACTGCTCCCAAATGGTGCCTCATCCTCAAAGGATACTTGCACAACACTTTCAAAGGGCGAGCCTGGGAGCTTAAATTCATTACTCTGCTAGACACCAAAAATCATAGACTGAACAGGGAAACTGGGTTTATGGTTTATTACAGCAGTCTGTAATCCACTAACCCCCTCTTTTTGTCCAATGACTGCAGAGGTGTTAATGGGCCACTCCGCTTTGAATGGTCTCTTACAGTATGTGTTAACTACTTATGCTTTTGCTGTATCCTGTGAGTTCCTTTCCCAGACCTAAAGAAGAGCTTTCTTTGGCTCCAAAGTTTCTCTATCTCCTCAACAAAAATTGGTCTAATAAAAGATATTACCTCGCCCACCTTCCCTCCCTAAAGCAGCCTTTTTGGTTGGTCCTCATAAGTGCTCACTTAAGACAGGCTCCACTAATCAAAATTCCATTCCATACCCAATCTGTCTGGGTAACCAATAAGCACTTCCGTGGTTTATGCACAGTCTGTAATTATGCATTTATTGTGGCTTGTTACTGCAAGCTACATTAGCTTCTTGGAATTATGTATTTGCACCCCTTGACTAGCCATTCTTGAATACCAGGTCTGTCTTGTTTGCAGCAGATTCATAGATTCTAGGACTGGAAGGGACCTCGAGAGGTCATCGAGTCCAGTCCCCTGCCCTCATGGCAGGACCAAATACTGTCTAGACCATCCCTGATAGACATTTATCTAACCTACTCTTAAATATCTCCAGAGATGGAGATTCCACAACCTCCCTAGGCAGTGTTTAACCACCCTGACAGTTAGGAACTTTTTCCTAATGTCCAACCTAAACCTCCCTTGCTGCAGTTTAAACCCATTGCTTCTTGTTCTATTCTTAGAGGCTAAGGTGAACAAGTTTTCTCCCTCCTCCTTATGACACCCTTTTAGATACCTGAAAACTGCTATCATGTCCCCTCTCAGTCTTCTCTTTTTTTTCCCAAACTAAACAAACCCAATTCCTTCAGCCTTCCTTCATAGGTCACGTTCTCAAGACCTTTAATCATTATTGTTGCTCTTCTCTGGACTCTCTCCAATTTCTCCACATCTTTCTTGAAATGCGGTGCCCAGAACTGGACACCATACTCCAGTTGAGGCCTAACCAGCGCAGAGTAGAGCGGAAGAATAACTTCTTGTGTCTTGCTCACAACACACCTGTTAATGCATCCCAGGATCATGTTTGCTTTTTTTGCAACAGCATCACACTGTTGACTCATATTTAGCTTGTGGTCCACTATAACCCCTAGATCCCTTTCTGCCGTACTCCTTCCTAGACAGCCTCTTCCCATTCAATACAGATACGCTTTTTCTCTATGCCAGTGATGGAGTGTTAATAATTAGGTAGTCAAACCTACATGAAAACGAACATGCTTGAGTGTGTAGGGTAGAGCTGGTGAGTTAGATATTTAATTGTTCTTTTCTGTTTCTTTTCTCCCCTGTGCTTAGTCTTTCAGTAACTTCTCTCATTGCCTGCAATTACAGCTGCTCTAATCTCTTCAGGTTATTTCATAGCTTGGCCCTGTCCGTGGGTATATTTGCTGCCTCTCCAGTTTCATCATCTGCAAATTGGATCAAACTTGCGTCAAAGAAACCCCAACAAAGATAGTTATGTTTAGGCTTGGCATGATTTGACTTTTAGCTGTAAATGTCAGTAAATGTCGATTTCACTGTAGGACAAACCCATGAAAAATATTTCCATCAATAATCGAAATTTACAGATAGGCAAAGAAAGAAACTTAAGGCTGCTTAAGAACTTAGTGTGATTTAAGGATATTTATGTTGTATATTTTGATGTGATGTTGACAATTTGTGTTTTTAATGTTTAGATTCAAAAGTTAAAGGTTTATAACTATCTGTCATTAAATAATTGTCTGATACTCTACTGTTTGACTCCCCCTGTAATTTTCTACAACTGTAAATTTAAATTTATAAAAATAAAAGAAGTGTTTAGTAATAAAAATCAATATTATCTGTTGCAATTACAAAAAAAAAAATAGAATTCTGTCAAGCCTAATGATGATGCAGCTCTGGAGAGTACACAGTAGTACTTGGGTTTTGGGTTTTTTTGTTAGTCTCAAAATCCTGAGAGCCGTTGTCTATCCCAGAATTTCTGGGAAGTATCTCTATGTGAAGAGACACATTCTTTGCCATTATGGCACCTGGAAGTGCTTTGAGCACCCGGGTGGTCCCTGCACCAGAACTGGGAAATACTCTAGTGAGCTTTTTGACTGCCCTGTTTGGGTGTTTTTAATATAAATATAATGCAGAAGGTGTTAACATTCTATCTTTCATAGATGTCAGCAAGGGACCTGGATCCAAGAAATTCACTTTTTCCGTGAACTTTGCCATTTACATAAAGTTTCTTGCAAATTTATGCAACTTACAGAATGGCACTGGCTTATGAAGGCTTGTTTCTGTGTGATGCCTGCTTTGAACTTCGTGGCACAGCCATAACAAGCAAGTAAGGGATGTGATGGCACTAGTATGAAGGAGGCTAGCGTCACTAACTGGTCTCAAATTTTGTGGACTTAAATATTTGTACACATGGCTTAGAAATTTCACAGCAAGTCTGATGTTTTGTCAGTCTTCTGCATCTGTGAGAGCAGACATTTTCCTTTCTGTGTGAGTGTAAAATGTAGAACTCAGAGTGAAGGACTAATGATATTAAAGCCAGAAATCATAGGACTGGAAGGGACCTGGAGAGGTATCCTAGTCCAGTCCCCTGCACTCAAGGCAGGACTAAGTATTATCTAGACCATCCCTGACAGGTTTTTTTATAACCGCTCTTAAAAACCTCCAACGATGGAGATTCCACAGTCTAAACTGCACTTGCTGCAATTTAAACCCATTGCTTGATGCTGAGAGGTTAAGGAGAACAATTTTTTCCCCTCCTCTTTATAACAACTTTTTATGTACTTGAAAACCGTTATCATTTCCCCCCTCAGTCTTCTCGTCTCCAGACTAACAAACCCAGTTTTTTCAGTCTTCCCTTATAGGTCATGATTTTTAGACCTTTAATCATTTTTGTTGCTCTCGTTTGGACTCTCTCTCCAGTTTGTCCACATCTTTCCTGAAATGTGGTGCCCAGAACTGGACACAATACTCCAGTTGAGGCCTAGTCAGCGTAGAGTAGAGCAGAAGAATTACTGCTTGTCTTGCTTACTGCACCCCACTAATATATTGCAGAATGTTTGCTCTTTTTTTTTCCCTTTGGCTAACAGTGTTACTGACTCATATTTAGCTTGTGATCCACTGACCCCCAGAATCCTTTCCACAGTACTCCTTCCTAGGCAGTCATTTCCCATTGTATATGTGTGCAACAGATTGTTCCTTCCTAAGTGGAGTACTTTGCATTTGTCCTTTATTGAATTTCATCCTGTTACGTCAAAATGTTTCTCCAGTTTGTCCAGATCGTTCTGAATTTTAATCCTATCCTCCGAAGCACTTGCAACATCCTCCTCTTGGTGTCGTCCACAAACTTTATAAGTGTTCTCTATGCCATTATCTAAACAATTGATGAAGATATTGAACAGAACCGGACCCAGAACTGATCCATGCGGTACCTCACTCAATATGCCCTTCCGGCTTGACTGTGAACCACTGATAACTACTCTCATGGAACAGTTTTCCAACCAGTTATGCACCCACCTCATAGTAGCTCCATCTAGGTTGTATTTCCCTAGTTTGTTTCTGAGAAGGTCATGTGAGACAATATCAAAAGCCTTACTACTTTTCCACTGGACAGTCTTGCCTACATTTCAGACTTGATCTCCCCACCTCTGCCAATGTGGCCTTACTCTCCTGAGTAGAGCTTGCAGAATACTATCCAATAAACCTGCCACCAAACTCCTACAAAAGTAATTAGCCAAGCATTCACTCTGTTTCTTCTGTAGTCAGTTTCCTGTTTAACATTTTCAGTGCTGCCTACCTTATCTGGAGACTCTGCACAAAATGCACCTCTAGTGCTAGTTCCAATGGACTGCTGACATCCACAACACACTGAAGTAGCTGAAGGGATTAAATCAGTGCTTATAGTAAGACGTTTTCACCTTTTTCCACTTTTTTTCCGTTGACCTGTCTCCAGGATAGAATATTCCATGCCATATCCCAGAATACTGTGAAAAAAATTATTTTTAAATTTCTGAATTACTGTATTAGTTTTATGCAGAAACTAGCTGGCTAACCTAATGATTCTGTGCCATTTGGATGCATGTAGATTTAAACACAACTAGAGAAGCCCTGAACTCCTTATTCGTCCTAGGAAGAAAAGAAAAGGCATAACCTCTAGAAAACCAGCGCCAAGCATATCTGCTGCTGCTCACATCTACGTAATCCTTAGGTCCACCCTTGTTAAGGTGAAATATGTGACCTCTTTGCTTTTCCTTCCCTCCAGATTTACAGGAACGGATGGGCCAAGTGGTTTTGGATTCGAGTTGACGTTTCGACTAAAGAGAGAAACGGGGGAGTCAGCGCCACCTACATGGCCGGCAGAGTTAATGCAAGGCTTAGCCAGATACGTCTTCCAGTCAGGTACTGTACCATTAAACAATTCCTGCCTTGTTTTCTATCACTCTAAGGCTTGGTCTACACTCACCCCCCCAAATCGAACTAAGGTACGCAACTTCAGTTACGTGAATAACGTAGCTGAAGTTCGAAGTACCTTAGTTCGATCTTACCTCGGTCCACACGCGGCAGGCAGGCTCCCCCGTCGACTCCGCAGTACTCCTCTCGTCTAGCTGGAGTACCGCAGTCGACGGCGAGCACTTCCGGGTTCGACTTATCGCGTCCAGACAAGACGCGATAAGTCGAACCCAGAACTTCGATTGCCAGCCGCCGAACTAGCAGCTGGGTGTAGACATACCCTAACTGTGATGGGTTACGTGAATGTCAAAGTGCTGGATTTGAATCTTGTATTTATTCAAGTAAATCTCTGCCATTTTAGTCTCGAGATCGGTCTTGTGTGAAAATGCTGTTTGGTCAAAATAAATGTGTTGCTTTCACCAGCCTATTGGTAGATCTCTGTGCTACTGTACAGGTTCCCCCTATCGTAAGCTGCTTGAAGGTACAGAATGGTTAGGCCTTGATAGGAAAGGGAGTCTTTGGGATTACCTTTTAGTTATTCCTCTAGACAAATGAGGAGCTGCTCAGTGATGGAAGAAGATGGCTGTGATATGAGGTCTTACGGAGGCAGGGGTTAAAGCTGAGACAAATGGAAATCCTCAGGGCTGTGTCAGTGATATAGAAGATCTCCTAGGAAATGTCAACTTTCCTATGTTGTACAATATAACTGAACTTAACATAAAAGGTGGTTACAAGGAGGAGGGAGAAAAATTCTTCTCCTTAACCTCTGAGGATAGGACAAGAAGCAATGGGCTTAAATTGCAGCAAGGGCCGTTTAGGTTGACATTAGGAAAAACTTCCCAACTGTCGGAGTGGTTAAGCACTGGAATAAATTGCCTCGGGAGGTTGTAGAATCTCCATCATTGGGGATTTTTAAGAGCAGGTTAGACAAACACCTGTCAGGGATGGTCTAGATTAGCGGCTCTCAACCGGGGAGTCCATGGCCCCTGTGGAGCTGCAAGCAGGTTTCAGGAGGTCCGCCAAAATAAACTAGAAAGCAGGGCTGGCATCAGACTTACTGGTGCCCTGGGCAGAAAGCCAAAGCCCAACCAACTTAGCTTTGTGGGGACCCCTGTGGCATGGGGCCCCCCAGCAATTCCCTGTTTGCTGCCCCCTGATGCCGGCCCTGTCTTTTAATCTACTGGATATGAGAAAAACAGTTGTTGTGGCACAGGTGGGCCGTGGAGTTTTTATAGCATGTTGGGTGGTGGGGTGTCGGGGGGGGAGGCTCAGAAAGAAAGAAAAAGGTTGAGAACCCCTGATCTAGATAACTTAGTCCTGCTATGAGTGCAGGGGCTGGACTAGATGACCTCTCGGGGTCCCTTCCAGTTCTACGAATGGCCTGTTGGGTAGACTATTAATTCACATTGTGTTTATACATGTGATTCTGTGGAGCGATTGTGCAAATAGTGATTGCCTTTTTGATCCAGTTTGGGGGTTCTTCCCTGTTAAAGTAGCTTCCTAAATCTCTGATTACAAAGCAGCTAAGCACGCACAGATTTGTAACTGTTTCTCTGCCAGTTAATAAATTGCTCAGTAACTTCTCTGATTCTGTGCTGTTTTTTCAGTCAGATGAGTGACTTTTAAGTTGGAGGAGTCCAGAAAAAATATGATCACCGTTAACTCCATTGCTGCTGATCATGAGTGCAACACCCCTACACTCAGTGGCAGTACTCACATGGTCGCTTTCTTTCAAATGCTGACTCAACCGAACAATCTACCCACAAATCACTTATGATCTTAAGAATGTTGCTTGATGCCGGGTGGAATGAAGACATAGTCTCTAAATTTGGCTATTGAAGAGGTGTGCAGGCCCATTTTCACTGTTGTGCCATTGAAATTCCGGTCCAGTTGTTCTTATTTGAGATTTTTTGCCTTGGAATAAAACTGCTTTAGGAGTTGTGAGGAACCATGTGATTCCCATCAGCTGTCCCAGATTCAGAGTCTGGGTCAGAGTACAAGATTCCCCACCTAAATCTGATATACGCAACTCTAAAGCATTTGCTGTCAGGGGATGCATTAATAAGACTACCTTTTTTTTTCCGTGCATTTCTGAGATGTTTGCCTCTGACTTTGCAATTGCCTCCGTCTCACTTATCGATGTTAATATTATTTGGTCCAAGATTTAAGGCCATTTTTGCAGCATTTCAAATCCCTAAATACTGTAAGTTCTCATACCATGCTTATCAGTGTAGTGTCTGAGCGCTTTCACTTGTGCATTAAGTCATGTGACTCATAGCCGTCACTTGTTTGTTCTTATTCTCTCCCCAGGAGGAGTGTGCACAGTAGTGTTTTGACACGATTAAAAAAAAATACTTACTGGCCATGTAAACCATATTACTCAAAGAGACAAACTTCTGAATCTCTTCATGTTGCATTTCTTGGAGCAATCCAGTAATAGGAATTTCGTGTGGACAAAGTGACATTTTCTGTTTCTGTGCATTTCGCGTGAGCAGCAGACAGCTTGTGTACGTGTAATTGGTGGAAAGCCATTTAGAACAGATTCCCTACAAGAGGACTTCTCATGCTTTCTGCAAAAGACATAACTCTATCTTTCAGACCTGAAACCATAAAACCAGCTTTCAGTATTCTCTGGAAAGAGCATTTATGTCTTCATAAATTTCTGTTTTTCATCTTTGCCACGTACTTCACATTTAATTGGTCCATGACATTCAGTATTACCCTGTAAAAACAACAAGGAGTCTGGTGGCACCTTAAACACTAACAGATTTATTTGGGCATACGCTTTCATGGGTAAAAACCCTGAGTCGGAGA